GATAAATCTCCTAGAAGAAAACATAGGCAGAACATTCTCTGCATAAATCTTAGCAATGTTCCCAGTCTACCCAGGGAATAGAAATAAGAGCAAAAAATAAACAAATGGGACCTAATTAAACTTATAAGCTTTTGCACATCAAAGGAAACCATAAGCAAAATAAAACAACAACCTACGGAATGGGAGAAAATATTTGTAAATGATGTGACTGGCAAAGGATTAATTTCCAGAATATATAAACAGCTCATACAACTTAATAACAAAAAACAAACAACCCAATCCAAAAATGAGCAGAAGACCTAAACAAGCAATTTTCCAGTGAAGACATACAAATGGCCAATAGGCACATGAAAAAATGCTCAATATCACAAATTATCAGAGGAATGCAAATCAAAACTATAATGAAGTATCACCTCACACCAGTCAGAATGGCCATCATTGAAAAGTCCACAAACAATAAATGCTGAAGAGAGTGTGGAGAAAAGGGAACCCTCCTACACTGCTAGTGGGAATGTAGTTTGGTGCAGCCATTATGGAAAACAGTGTGGAGATTCCTCAAAAAACTAAAAATAGACTTACCATATGATCCAACAATCCCACTTCTGGGTAAAAGTCCTGAGGGAACTCTAATTCGAAAAGATACATGCACTCCAATACATAATGTATATAGTGTATATAAGCACTATATACAATACCCAAGTCATGGAAATAACCTAAATGTCCATTGACAGATGACTGGGTAAAGAAGTTATGGTACGTTTATACAATAGAATACTACTCAGTCATCAAAAAAGAATAAAATAATGCCATTTGCAGCAACATGGATGGACCTAGAGATTGTCATTCTAAATGAGGTAAGCCAGAAAAAGAAAGAAAAATACTATATGATATCACTCATATGTAGAATCTAAAAAAAAGAAAGAAAGAAAAAAGGGCACTACGAACTTATCTACAAACAGAAACAGACTCGCAGACATAGTAAGCAATCTTATGGTTACTGGGGAAAGGGAGTGGGAAGGGATAAACTTGGGAGTTTGAGATATACAAATGTTAGCCACCATATATAAAAATAGATTTTAAAAAAGTTTCTGCTGTATAGCACAGGGAACTATGTTCAGTATCTTGTAATAACCTTTAATGAAAAAGAATATGAAAACAAATATATGTATGTATATGTATGACTGGGAGATTATGCTGTATAACAGAAACCGATGCATTGTAACTGATGGTACTTCAGAATTAATTAATTAATTAATTTGGGTGAGGAGGTAATTAGGCTTCTTTTTCTTAAAATTTTTTGTTTTTGTTTTTGTTTGGGGGGATGTAATTAGGTTTCTTTGTGTATTTTTAAATTAACTTTTTATTTTACTTTTTAGGGAATTGAATCCAGGATCTTATGCATGCTAAGCATACATTCTACAACTGAGCTACATCCTCACTCCCATAGGCTTACTTTAAGGCAAGTGAATTTTTTTTTCCTCTAGGGCCAGTGAATTTTTAAGTGCAACTGGATTGCTTTTGAGGGATTTTGAGCAGGGACAGATCTAATTTCTGTTTTAACAAGAAGATTAAAGTACATTGCCTTGAAACAAAGATGAAAGAGGAGTTAAGTACCAGGGTCACCTCTTCTTGACAAGCTAAAAATTCTTCTAGGGCAGGGCCTTGTTCCACTCATGTTTATTCCTAAAATACACTCAATAGGCCCAAGTCACCTCCCTGTGCTCTCCTTTCCTTCCCTGCAGCAGAGTCAAGGACCCAGCCAGTTATCTTTTCTTTCTGTCTCTGCCCACTCTCCCACTCTCCTGGAATTCTGTTCACTCCAAGCTTGGTTGCTAAAAGGGAAATCAGCTCTTCGGGTCCCCTCATTAACTTTCTACTACCAAAGATAGACAGACAGACAAACAGACAGACAAATATATGTGTATATATCCAAGTATATGCTTTTTATTTCCCATGGTTCAATGGCAAATCACTGGGGAAACAAAAAGGAGATAAAAGTAACTTGTCCCACAGAAGTTAAGAATACACAATTCAGTTGTTAATTCTGACCCCTAACTCTTGCTCAGATAGTAACTGGATGCAGTCTAGGCCTTTAGAATTGCACTCCTATTCTTCAGTGGGGGGTTTTGCAAAACTTGGCCCTTCTTTTGAGTTTCCTGTACTACTCCCTCCACTTTAGAGGAAGGGTTTAATTCCATGAAGGTGAGACTTTCCGAACAGTACATATACCAATCAAAGTCACAGGAAGGTAACTTGCATCCCTTGTGTTACAATTTTTTTAATTGAGTATAGTCAGTTTATAATGTTGTCAATTTCTGGTGTACAGCATAATAGTTCAATCACACATATACATACATATATTCATTTTCATATTCTTTTACATTATAGATTCCTACAAGAATTGGATATAGTTCCCTGTGCTATACACTATAAACTTTTTTATCTATTTTTTATATAGTAGTTAGTATCTGCAAATCTCAAACTCCCAATTTATCCCTTCCAACCCCTCTCATCATTTTCTAATCACTAAAATGCTAATCACAACACCTTTCTCTGAAGGGTTGTGATGTTAATATGAGATAAAATCTATAAAGTGAGTGGCACATAGTAAGTGGTCAGTTAATGGTCGACTCAGCCCCACTATGATCCCCTGGGGCCATTTCCCCACAAAAGTTTCAGATGGATTTTTCTCTAATTCTCTATCTAGTTTTCTTTGGTATTTGCTCTAGCACACACTAGGGCTCCCACAAAAGTGACTGAGTGAAAATTCCTGGCGGCAGAGGATCCCTCACCCCAACATAAACACTTTCAGAAACCGCTACTGCGGGCCCTGAGTTACTGAGCAGCGGTACCTTTCAGAACCCCCGTGGTGCTCTCACATCCCTCCTAGCTGGCTTGGTCCAAATGGCTCATTTAACCAAAGTCACACTAAAATCTTGGTCGATACTAAAATGCAGGACTCGTCGCTGGTCACCAGCAGGAGGTGAGGAAGACAGTTGCTTAGTTTTCGAATGAGCACCGGTAGGCCCTAAAGATCCTGCCTCCTTTCACAGAGCGAACCTATCAGCGCTGCTTTAGCGATGAGCGGCAGCTCTCCAGGAGCGAATGAGTTCCGCTCCCTGGAAAGAACCCGCCCATCCCTTGTGTCGTCACTCGGTCTCTCTAGAACCAGTACCGGCGCTTCCTCGTAGCGTGCCTGTTGGCGGGTGTTTGCGTTGAAGCTTGACCTTAAAGGGGAGGGAGCAGAGAGGGGGGCCAGGGCCCTTTAAAACGAGGCGCTCTGGTGCCTGCCCCTTTAAGGGCGGGGCGTCCCGACAACTGAATCTGAGCCCCAGATTACCCCGAGTTTCCGTCACAGGCTGAGAGGAAAGGCTCCTTCGCCTGGGTCCGGGTGCTTGGCGGCGGCGGCTTCATCCCCGCTGGTCCTCCCCGGGCCCGGAGACACCCCCGCCCCAGTCATGCTGAACAGAGTATGGAAGCAGCTGACTACGAAGTACTATCTGTGCGAGAGCAGCTATTCCACGAGAGGGTCCGCGAGTGCATTGTGAGTGCGGGAACCGGGCAGGAAGGGTAGAAACAATTGAAGGAGAAGCTCGGGTGTCGCGGGAGAGGGAGAAGTTCGAGTGGTAGTGCGACTACTTGGGCACAGAGTCTGTCAGATCCTGCTTGGTACAGGGGCGAGCGACGAAGGGCGCCGTTCCGACCAGAGCTGGGCTGGCCAACCCCTAGATCAGGTCAGCTGGGTGGCTGCGAGATAAACAAAGCCGGTCGGTTTCCGTTCCTCCCCTGTACTCGCCCCTCCCCCTGGCCTCCCCCTGTCCCCCATCCCCCGTCGGTGTTCTGAAGGAGGTCTTGGTGTGTTTGGGAGTCTGGTGAGTCTGCCGATCCTAGCCTGTGGTTAGGGATGGGTTTGTCCAGGGGAGGGATTATTTGCATTTACCCCTCAAACCCAACTGATGTTTGGTGAAGGGAAAACGAACAGGAGATTTTGGTGGGTTTCCCACTCTAGAAGAAAGGACTCTTGCTGGGGCGGGTTCTACTGTGCAGAGATGGAGAACAACAAAGGTTTCCCCTACTTTTCCTTATTAGTGTTTGTTAGAAACCCTGCAAGCCAAGGTTCCTGCTTCCCAGAGCCGTTCGGGGATTTCCTTTGTGAGTGGTTGCCCCCAGTGCTACAGGGGGCACCTGGCTGCTTTCCTTACTCCCTCACTGCCACCTAGAGTAACAGCTGAAACTGCCACACAACAAGGGATTCCTTCTCACTCCAGAGCCAGGGGCACCCAGTGGAGCTTAGAGAGTCACATCTTTCTCAGGCCTGCTTCAAACTCTCATCTCTCTCCTTTCTTCTCAGTCTCCTTCCTCAGAGCTCCCCAGGGAAGCCCTCACCCCCAAATACTAAAGGGAAAGGTATAGAAGTATAAAAGTGTTCAGGTGTGGGAAGGCCCACTGATGGGGTTATCCTTCATTTTTCTTAGACTGAGCTCTAGTCTGCTCTTGGCTGCCTCAGAGGGGTAAAGTGAGCCATGACATAACCAGATGTGCCCTTATCTGTGAAGGCTGAAAAGTTGAAAGTATACCAGTGCATGTGTGGAACATCAAATCTGCTTTCTGGAAGCCTTCCTTGTGTGTTCTTTAGTAGATAGTCTCACATGGTGAGGTTGGGCATATCGTGGAGGCCCACCCAGGCCTTGAGCCAGAGGCCCACATTCCTAGAGAACAGGGAGGGATGAGACCTTGGACAGAGAAGCAGTCTCCTGGATGTCTCACCTGTTCTTTAGTCCCATTTGCTGAGGATATCAGTGCTGGCCAAGAGCAGCTCGAAGACTTCTGTACCTCCCCCACCTGGCTCCAATCCCCTGCTTTAGAGAATGGCCTAGCCTCTGCTGGAACTGCATGGAACTTCAGCCTGACCATTTGAGCCCTCTCACTTTCCTGGCTATTACACAAGCCCAGAGCAGAGTACTAGGCAGTAAAAATCTTGCAGTTTCAATCTGAGTGGTTCATTCTACTCTACTTCCCTAATATTAAAAGCTACAGTTTTGTCCTAGACCCATGGTTCTCCTGGGGTCTCTGTGGCTTTTCTCCTTGTACAGACAGCTGTATGCAGATTCCCTATAGGGTCAGCTCCTCTTGGGGGCTGGAGAACCTATGAGACTGATCCTGCCTTCTTGGCCTACTGCAAACACAGTAACATCTCAAGACTCTCTGGCCCTGGTTGTGGAGCCAAATTGACAGTGGCTCCTGCCCTGGGCAATAGTAGCTTACTCGGGGTAGGGCAGGGATGCATGCATGCAGAGAACAACCTGTTCAAGTCCTGCCATAACTGTCAATTAGAGGGCTGGTCACCCAGGGGCATGGGACAGACCCTGAGAGAACTGCCCTGGAGTTGGAAGTCACTTGAGGTAGGGACCAGGGACTGATAGCATTTAAAGGGGCTGATGCTGGCTCTAGAAAGGAGGAGGGGGAAAGTGGAGGGAGGGGGAGTGGGACAGAGGGAGTAGAGAGCCAGGACAATGCAGACATCCCCTTCTTCCTTTCAAACTCTCTTTCCTTTCCAATAATGTGCTGGGCGTAAATTCCCTCTGGTTCTGTGGCCTGTTTCATGTGTGTGTATATGTGCATTGCTAAGAGTTTTCTCTGCTCGTTTACCAACCAGGGTTCAGCTGAAGCTGTTTTCTCCCAGGAAACCCTCATAGAGCTGGACATGGTGCTATTTCCCCAGGTGTATAGGACAGCCCCTGCCTGGTGCTTCTTAGAGGCCCCTGAGGCCTTGACTAGAAGGAAGTAGTGGGAAGAAAGATGGAATCCCTGGAAGTATGGAGCCTAGTTTTGGGAAAGTGTCCCCATGGAATTAACAGAGGCCACTGAGCCTGGGGAATATGCCTGGGATTAGAGCCTCTCATCTCATTCACTCTCTGCCACAGATCTCAACACTTCTGTTTGCAACACTCTACATCCTCTGCCACATCACGCTGACCCGCTTCAAGAAGCCTGCTGAGTTCACCACAGGTACCTGTGACTTCCCTGCCTTCTGCCAGCCCTCTGCCAGTGTTCCCGTTGCCATGGCACCAGCCTCAGGGGAAGAGGCCTAAGGTGCCTGCTGGGAAAGGAGAGGTGGCTGTTCTGGAGCCTTTACCTCTTCTGCCTCCCTTTCTTCATAAGCAGGGGCAAGATGGTATAGTGGAAAGTCTAGGTGAAAGTGTCTACAGCTAATAAAGTCACTGGGCAAGTCATGTAACTTTTGTGACCCTCAGTTTCATCCTCTACAAAATGAGCCCAACCATCTCTACCCAGTCCATTGTCACTATGTGGAACAAATGCGATGGCTAATGTGAAAGCTCTCTGTGAACCTAAAGAGGGTGACTGCAGGGTGGATGTTACTGTGGGCACAAGCTCTTTCATCTCCTCTCCTAGTGCTCCTGCACCCAGGACCAGAGACCTCCCTGACCACTGGGGCCCCAGGACCTGGTGATGGTGGCCTTCCTCTTTGTAGAGTGTTCAGATTAAAGCTTCCCTTAGGCATCGTGTGATTACAGGGACACACTTGCTCCCATTCCTAGCTCCAGCCTGTCCAGATCTTCCTGGCCTGGCCTGAACCTTTCCTCCCCTCCAGATGGCTTAATGAGTCCCCAGCCAAGAAGGCAGCTACTCTTGAGTGTAATTCCCCTGGGGACTTTCTCTGTGAACCTCCCCCCTCCCCCTCCCCTCATTTTCCTTTGCTGTATCTAGCCACTGATGTAACCAACCTCACAGACCAATCATTTGTTCAATTTTCAGTTTACAAAGAGGAACCTGTGGTGGGAGAGACCTGGGGAAGGAGGGAAGTGGGGGAAATCCTGATCCATACTCTCTCCACCTAGGACCACTGAACTTTAAGCTGCCACCTTGGCCAAAGAATAGGTTATGGGGTTCAAAGTGTGAGCTCTTCTGGAGCCTCCTGCCCAGCTCTGCCTGGGTGGGCCCAAGCCCTTCTTTCAGGGCCAGGGAAGGAGCAAGAGAGCACACTGCAACACAAATGCCTTCCGGAGACGCCCACTGATGGCCTGCCTCTCCCCATGCCTCTGTCTCTTGTAGTGGATGACGAAGATGCCACGGTCAACAAGATTGCGTAAGTGTTGCTGCCTCAGGACCCAGGCCCTAGTAGCCTTTAGAAGCTCAACTCTAGTGAGTACCCTGGAGTGGGGGAGAGTGAAGTATCAGACAGTGAAGAGAGAGCTGCTGCTTCCACCTCATTTCTGGCTTCTTCCGGCTTTACCCCACATATGGATGCTTGGAAAAGCTGTTGTTCCTGTCTCCCTGGTTAGGCCAGGAGCTTCTAAGAGGCTCGACCAGGAACTGTTTGCTGGAGGCCTGAGTCACTGGAAATGGCTCCAGCTTGGCTTCACCTCCCAGAAGCCACTGAGGAGGCAGTGGGGTGAGGATCGCAGACTAATGGAAATAGCAGGGGATGGGGAAGGTGGAACCCCCGAGGGTGGGGCATGCTTGGTTCTGTGAGGATAGTCCTTACTCTAGGCTGTTATTATTCACTAGCACCTGTAGATAAAAATATAGAGGTAACCCCTTTGGATCAACAGATTAGAAGAAAGCAACCCCCACCCATACCCCTCAAGGACCAACTAGATAAGTGTTCCTTCTTTTCAGCTGATGCAGCCCAGGGCACAGGCTTTGGCTATGAAGCTGAGTTTCAGGTCCCCCTTTCACCTTAGTGCCTTTGTTCAGGGCATAGCGATATGGGGTGACTCTGCTCTGTCCAGGCTGAAGAAGACAAGCTCAGAAATCCACATCCCTGCACTAAGCAGAGAGAAGTCAGGCCCCTTAGCTTGGCATCATGCCTGGCACACCCTGTAGGCATGTGCGGGAGGTCCGCATTCCTGGGGACAGCCTGGGCAAGTGACATGGCAGGTGACCAGGCTCCCATGAAGGCCTAAGATATGCCCATCCCATGTGCCAAGGCTTCGTGGGAGGTAAGGGCTAGGGTGGGGAGGCAGTGGGAAGAGCCCCAGGTGGATGGCTTTTTCCCTAGGTCTATCACTGCTACAGGTGGTTCTAGAAGCCACAGGTGCCTGTGGAGCTGAATGGGGCTCCTTGGGCCCAGGGAAGTGAGTGTCTGAGCTAAGCAGGGGCACTACCCCATCTCTGCCCAGACTCGAGCTGTGCACCTTCACCCTGGCGGTCGCTCTGGGTGCTGTCCTGCTCCTGCCCTTCTCCATCATCAGCAATGAGGTGCTGCTATCACTGCCTCGGAACTACTACATCCAGTGGCTCAATGGCTCCCTCATCCATGGTGCGTTGCTCCTGGTTGCAGCTGAGGGTGGGGATAGGCAGCCTTGGGCAAATCAGTCCAATATCACCCCATCCCTCCTGCCTCCCCTGCCACATGTTCAGTCCCCAGTGGGTTGCCCCCTGTGGGTTGCCCCCTGTCTTAATAACCATCTCTGCTTTTTGTTTTTTGCTCCAGGCCTCTGGAACCTCGTTTTTCTCTTCTCCAACTTGTCCCTCATCTTCCTCATGCCCTTTGCGTACTTCTTCACTGAGTCTGAGGGCTTTGCTGGCTCCAGAAAGGTGAGTGAGGGATGTACCAGGGAAATGTAGTTCCACTCAATGGTTCAACTGAAAAGATTTTAATGAAGAGACTATTTGCAGAGGTTCTGTCAGCATTAAGGGGACCAACAAGGAGCTGGAGGCACTAGTAACAACAGCAAGTCATTACCACCCCTAGGCCTGCAGGAGCAAAGGGAAGAAATATTTTCTGGAACTATTTGAAGCTAGGGAGGTGTGGCTTCCCGGGAGAGGAGCTAGTGTCTCAGCCACTGTCAAAACCACAGTGTGAAAGGTGGGAAGAAACACAGAAAAGATACCCTGACCTCTCTCTCTTCCTTCCTTCCACTCTTGCTGGTCGTCCCCACTGGGCAAGATGAACAGAAAACCAGAGGGTAAAGAGCATGTGTGTCGCAGACCTCAGGGGTCAGCCTCCCAAGACAAGACAAGGGTGGAGAAGGGATCTGAGGAAGCGGATTGCGAATGAAGAATATCCAGTATAGGGAATGACCCCAGATTGTGGGGTAGGAAGGCAGAGTGACTTAGCAGAATAAGAGGGAAACACCTCTGTCTCCTGAATCCACTCCTCCCTGCTTCCCCCAGCCAGACTGCCGTCTCTGTCTCCTTCCTTCCCTGCATAGTCTCCCTCACGTTTTGCCTCCACCTGTAGGGTGTCCTGGCCCGGGTCTACGAGACAGTGGTGATGTTGATACTCCTCACTCTGCTGGTGCTGGGCATGGTGTGGGTGGCATCTGCCATCGTGGACAACAACAAGGCCAGCAGAGAGTCACTCTATGGTGAGAAGGCCAGCTTCCTCCCCACCCTCCAGGCCGAGGGGCTCTTCAGCTGGCTGATGTTCCCCTGCCAGGAAAAATTATATCCTGCTAAGGTGGAGAAAGTTGGGACCCTCTCCCTTAGACTGAAGTTTCCAGCTGATGGACTTCAGGCCAAATCCATCCTGTAGAAATGTTCCAATTTGGGCCCAGGCAATGATTTAAAAACATAAGTGAGTCAGTTGAAGTTGGGAGATTTCACCTCAATATCCAGATTTCTGGCTTTGCTTGACAAGACCGAAGATCTGGCCATACTAAGCGCCGGCGACTTGGGCCAAAGAGTGCTTGTGCCCTTTAGAAAGGGCTTAAGATCTCTAGTTTGCTGTAGGCCCTGCCACTCCTTCTGCTGCTGGCCAGCTTTCCTTTGCTGCATTACTGGCCTAACCCCCGTAGGCTCTTGTGTTGTGCCCTCGCCTCTTCTCTGAGTTCTGTCAGCCCCCAGTAAGCCGGAGGAGAGAGATGGGCTGATGTACTTCTTTTTTCCCCTTTAGATTTCTGGGAATACTACCTCCCCTACCTCTACTCCTGCATCTCCTTCCTCGGGGTCCTGCTGCTCCTGGGTGAGTGTCCAGGGTCTGGGAGGGGACGGGTAAGGTCCCTGGGCAGGATGGATGAGGGAATGGAGGGGTGGGTAGGGGAAGCAGTGAAGAGAAGGGTCTGGCAGGTAACTGGCTCCTGTTCCCACAGTGTGTACTCCACTAGGTCTTGCCCGCATGTTCTCGGTCACTGGGAAGCTGCTGGTCAAGCCCCGGGTATGTAGTATTCCTAGTCCTTGATCCTGGAGACAAAGCTGGAGCCAAACAATGAAGCAACCCTGTGGTTGTGCAGTGCACACCTCGCAGAGGGCCGTAGCCTTTGCTGGCTCCTGTATCCTTCGCCCCCATCATCTGGAGTTGGTTGCCAGAAATGCAAAGCAGGACACAAGCCATTTGGGAGGGACTGGATAAAGTTGCTGGTCACAGGGTGGTGAATGAGGGGAGGGGAAGGAATGGGACAATGGAGTCCTGAGATGAGAAAGGTTCTCCTGGGGCCCTTGTGACTGGGAGCCTCTGACAGTCAATCCCTCCCTTCCACCTGCCCACAGCTGCTGGAAGACCTGGAAGAGCAGCTGCACTGCTCAGCCTTTGAGGAGGCAGCTTTGACCCGCAGGATTTGCAGTGAGTTGCAGTTCCTCCTGGCAGGGATAGTGGGCGTGGCTTGGGCAAGGGCTACAGGACCTGGGGACAGCACCACCTTCTCTGCCCTCAGATCCCACCTCCTGCTGGCTGCCCTTGGACATGGAGCTGCTGCACAGACAGGTCCTGGCTCTGCAGACACAGAGGGTTCTTCTAGGTATGTAGGTTGGTAGGGATTGGGATACCGGGGTTTCCCCAAGGTGGGTAGCCCCACATACCAGGCCCTTGCTAATAGCTTCCCATCCCTACACAGAGAAGCGGCGGAAGGCTTCAGCTTGGCAACGGAATCTGGGCTACCCCCTGGCCATGCTGTGCTTGCTGGTACTGACGGTGTGTACACCAGCCTTGGTGGGGGTGGGGAGTAGTAGGCCCTCGTGTACTTTATTAGGCCTTCTCAGGGAGGAGGGAGGGGATGCAAGGACCTGGTTATCATCAATAATTGTGATTGCCTCTCACTGAGTGCCTACTTTGTGTCCTGCCTTATTCTGAGCATACATCAATCCCCATTTTGTAGATGAAGAAGCAGAAGTTAAGGAGTTTGCCTAAGGCCACACAGGGCCTAAGTAGTTTTGCACGTTTGCTCTGGGGTGAAAATAGGGTTGAAATCTAGTCCATCCCCCCACTTGCCTCATCCTGGACTTGGGAATAAGTCTGATCAGTTTGGAGGAAGAGGTGCACTTTTCTGTTTGGCCTTTTTGCAATCCTTCCACCTGGAGAGAGTACACTCAAAGGTACTCTGTTGCTAGTGTCAGCCTTGAGGAGGTCCCACACAGCTCACTGGAAACAACTGAAAATGTTGGACCAGAGTGTCTGCTGTTAATACTAAACTCTGGATACAGCCATGGACTGGGGCAGGGATGGGAGTCCATGACCTTGCCTCACACAGGGACTGTCTGTGCTCACTGTGGCTATCCACATCCTGGAGCTGCTCATCGATGAGGCTGCCATGCCCCGGGGCATGCAGGTACTGGGCCACTTTCCCACTGTATCTTTTAGGGAGGGCCTAAGAAAGGCTGAATTGGGGAAGGGAGCAGCTGAGGCCAGAGGGAGGCTAGGTGCTGGGTGGTACTGATGGCAGGGAGTGCTGCACAGTGACATGTTCCATCTCTCAGGGTGCCTCCCTGGGCCAGGTCTCCTTCTCCAAGCTGGGCTCCTTTGGTGCCATCATTCAGGTTGTACTCATCTTGTATCCTTTTGGAAACCCACCATTGCCTCTTTTCACCAAACCTGTCTCCTCTGGGATGCTGGGTAGAGCTACAGTGTGAGCGATGGGGAAGGGGGCAAGACTTTGCCAACCTGGGGTTCAGAAAGAAGGAAAAGACTTGATTTGAAAGGAGGGCTGTGGGAGAGAGATCCGTTCCCTTTGAGATGAGACATTAATCCTTGAGAGCGGGCCAGTTCTTCCCTAACCCACTGGCAGTTACCTGATGGTATCCTCAGTCATGGGATTCTACAGCTCTCCACTCTTCCGGGGACTGCGGCCCAGATGGCATGACACAGCCATGACACAGGTAGCTGTGCAGGAGTCAAGGAAGCTTCCTGGGGGCATGCTTGGGTACCAGGTGCTGGCAGCTTGGCTACCTTCACCTCCTCTTTCCTTACTCCCATCCAGATAATTGGGAACTGTGTCTGTCTCCTGGTTCTAAGCTCAGCACTTCCTGTCTTCTCTCGAACCCTGGGTAAGTAGCAAAAGGAAGCAAGGGAATTAGCTTTTTTTTTAGTACCTGCTGGTACTAAGCAGGCACTTTCTATTTATGCTCTCTCTAATTCCCACAACAAACCTGTAAGAAGGTATTATCGCCATTATACAGATGGAGAAACTGAGGCTCTATAAAATGCTTTGCTGAACTTCAGAGTAGTGTTGCTTCAAAGCTCATGCTTTTTCCATTTGCTCCATAACACACCTTCCCTCATTTACTTCTACTCCAAATCTTCCTTTGGGGTGGATCATCTAATAAACATTCTCATTTTAAAAAAGAGAAACAGAGAGGGGAGGGTATAGCTCAGTGGTAGAATGCATGCCTAGCATGCACGAGGTCCTGGGTTCAATCCCCAGTGCCACCATTAAGAAAATAAGTAAATAAATAAGCCTAATTACCTCCCCCACACAAAAAAATCAAAAGTAAATTAAAAACCCAATGGATCTTTTCCTGTAGACATACATTGTTGGAAATGTCTCGTGACAGAGAGTATCTAAAAATCAGAACCAAGGCAGATCCATCTTCTTTGACCCCAAATATGTAAAATTCCTAAACTAAATTGCTTGGGGAAATTGGATCACCAAGATCACAAGTGAGGAGTTTTTGAAGTGTGTCCATGTTCCACTGGAGATCAAAGACGCCCAACTAAAAGAATTATGGACTGACTGACATGACAACTATTGATTGAGCAAAAAATCTTATTGAAAGGGCTATCCTGAAGATTACAATTGAAACATTGGAGGAGCTAAGGTTGATGGTCAGTGGAAGGAATCAGAACATGAAATTCTTAAAAAATTTATTGACTTAAATAATTTTGCTTATGTTACACAATAAAAAAAAACCTTTGCACTTTTTGTAGGAATTAAATTAAATTAATTAATTTAAATAAATAAATAAGAGGAGAAACAGAGGAGCTAATTGATTTACCCAGTTATACAGGTAGTTTGAGACAAAGCCAACTCAGGCTAGAACCTTTGTCTCCTAAACCCCAGTTTAGAGCTTTTTACACACACTGGGGCATCAGCTAATACAGTCCTTCTTCCACCTTTAGAACTATGATCCAGAATTACCTGGTAAAAAATATTCAAAAGTATATAAAAAAATTTAAAAAATAAAGTATAAAAAAATAGTTCACCCCAAGGTAGTAGGGGAGTTGCAGAGGTAACTTGTTACCTCCCGCACCCCATCATCTATATACTGTGCATGAGTTAGTATTTAAATCAGTTCTGTTTGGTTCTTAAGTTTATGTTCTCTCCACTATACCATTTGTACTTGTGCCATGGGGATTTAGTAGGAAACCTGGCCTGTGGATCTACCAGTTAGTTCCTTTAGGTTGGCTGTTGGAAGGAGTATTTTTTTAAGTCAGGGAGGGCCCCAGAATTCTAATTTATGATGATTATATTATTACTATTAGTGGCTCAATAAATGTTAGAATACAGCCTGGCACATATATGTGTGTTGTCTCCTTTAATTCTCACAGTCACATTATTTCCCCTACTTTATAGATGAAGAAACTGAGGCATAGGTGTTTCAGGAATTTGCCCCAGGTCACACGGTTAGGTGGGGTGGAGTTCAGATATGAACCAAAGCAGCCTAATCAGAGTCAGAGCCCTTAGCCTCCTCACTTCTCTGTCTGCTAAAAAAAACACTTGGTGACAAGCTTGTAGGTTCCTGGCCCAGGAACAAGTAGCAGGCCCAGGGAGCTCTTTGGGACACCTGGAGCCAGAGCGGACCCCCACTGAAGGAGAAGATGCTAAACCTTAACAGCCCTGAACTGTCCCTGAGACAGGAGGTAGGATTATTACCTAAGAGAAGCCAACCCATCAGTTGCAGTGTTGGAATGTGGCCACCAGGCGGCAGCAGAAAACTGGGCTCTTTTCCAGGGAGGGGTTGGGGAGCCCACCTCCCATGCTGGCCTTTGTACTTCAGGGCTCACTCGCTTTGACCTACTGGGTGACTTTGGACGCTTCAACTGGCTGGGCAACTTCTACATCGTGTTCCTCTACAATGCAGCCTTTGCGGGCCTCACCACTCTCTGTCTGGTGAAGACCTTCACCGCAGCTGTGCGTGCAGAACTGATCCGGGCCTTTGGTGAGAGGGAGTTGGGGCAGGGCTGGTGGGGTGGTTTGAGGTGGAGCCCTCTGGAACAGTGGTCATTCCAAGGAGGGGAGATGGCATGCTCTCTGCTTTGTAACATTCCTCATCTACCCAGTCTGTGGGTTGGTTGTCTTATACCTGAGGACTGAACCTACATCCTGCTTTTGACTGCCCACCTCATCTCTTCCCTAGGGCTGGACAGACTGCCATTGCCTGTCTCCGGTTTTCCCCGAGCATCTAGGAAGAACCAGCACCAGTAACCTCCAGCTGGGGATGAGAGGGAGAAAACTGGACACTGCCATCTGCTACCCAGGCCTGGAGGGGCACCCAGGGGTGGGTGGACCTCAAGACCTGTAATCTGAGAGGGTGGGTGGCAGAGGGGAGCTGAGCCATCTGCACTGTTGCATAATCTGAGCCAGAGTTTGGGACCAGGCCCCACCGGCTTTTCCAGATTTAACTGTGGGCCTCAGCATGGAGTGGGGCTGGGTGACTGGGTCTGGCTCCTGGTCCCAAATCCGTTTACACATCTATCTGCCTCACTGCTATTCCGGGCCATGCCCGTAGCCATGTTTACATGATTTGATGTGCAATAGGGTAGGGTGGGGACAGGGGAGGGACTGAGCCTGGGCAGACTTGGGAGGCAGATTGTCTCCCTTGCCTCTGGCCCAGCAGAGCCTAAGCACTGTGCTATCCTGGAGGGGCTATGGACCACCAGAGAGATGACGGCATAGGGAGGAAGAGGCCACAACCATCAGCAATAAAGTTGATCCCAGGGTTTGCTTTGGTTTTCTAAAGGGCCTGTCTCTGTGTCTGTTTGAACAGCTTTGCTCCCACCAGTCCTGAGTCTACCCAGAGAAACAGAGGTTTCTTGCCCACTGTCCTTTCCCTTCCCCTCCATCCACATTCTGAGTGACCCTTGAGGACTTGAGTCTGCTGTTAGGCCATACAGTGAGTCAGTGGGGAGCTCCTCCTCTCCTTGGACTTGCTGAAAGTTGGCTGGTCACCTGACTCTTCCTTATGCCCAGGCCTTATTTCTGTGCCTTGGTTATTGGGAGTAGGTGGGCATGAGTGTAGGAATAGGATAACCTTCCTCTATATACTGCCCCCACCCGCAGCTCTCTCCCTGACTTGCCTATTGGATGAAGAGTAAATAAGTGTCTGCCCGACAAGGGTTTGTGATTCCTACATCAGAGAAGAACCCAACTCCATCCTTCCAGAAGCTATCAGTCCCTTGAATACTCTGCAAGCCCCTCTGCTGTGTTGGGAGGAGGGGTTAAATTTCTACTCATGATTATGAAGATTGTACATTGCACAACTTCTCAGGGCACCATTCACCCCATAGTCTACATGTAGTTACTACAACTATTTCCTTGCAAATGGCAGCCAGGTATCTTGAGGAAGGGCTGCTTTTTTCTAATGTACACAAAGCTAGTGAGTGCTAGCCATGGAGCTATGTGAGGGATGAGTATGGAATACCAAAAAAAAAAAAAAGTGTTGTTGCCATAAATACTTTTGAGCACCCTACTAGAGGCCAGGCACTCAGCCAAGGGGGTACATGATGAACAAATTTGTGCTTAGAAATTGCTTTGTATAGTAAGAGTGACATAATTTTAATACCATAGCACAATGAATGGCAGTTAATTATTGATTCTCAAGGAAACACAGAGGGCCAGTGTCAGGACATCAGGGAAGGCTTCTTAGAGATTTCTAAACAATAGTAGATTAATGGGTGAAGTATTACAGTCACGAATCCTCTGAGATGAGACCTGAGTGGCTAGACATGGAGAGGGTTTCCAGAGAGGGTGAAGGATAGAGAGGTGCCTAGATAGAAGGTAAAGGGAAGCAAACATTAGCCTGTTAGAAACTACAACTTTCAGTACTCATTGCCCTCCAGCAGCTTCCAGTTGACAAGTTGGGTGTTTGGCAAGGATAAGAGAGGAGACAAAAGTTTGACTGTAACTACGAAACACTGTTCCTGATTCTGAGGAAGCTCCCAACAGAAGACTGCAAAACTACCAGGGAAAATGGTCCCCTGGTACCACCCCTTCCAGTCTTGGTTACTGCTAAGAAGGAGAGATGGAGGTGGAGGAGGTGGGAGAAGGACCACAGAGAAGGGATGCTCAGGTTGTATGCCTAAAGGGCTTGGCTGGTCTTGGGCAGAAATTGGATCCCATACCTCCTAAATGATAGCAAAGGACATGACCTGCCAAGGTAGGCTTTGGGAGTGCTTAGATCTAATTCACATATTAGAGGAAGGTGATTTGGTGCCACGCATAGGCTTAGAGGTAGGATGCTTAGCAAGGCAACGGAGGACTGTAAAGCTGCTAAAATTTCCGAGGCAGGTTCCTGCTTGGTCTCAAGGATGGGACACACTTCAGTCGCTGAACAGACCAGCGGTGATCGGCTAGAGCCTGGGCCCCGGTGGGAGGGGGCGGGACGGTCCTGGGAGAAGGGCGGGGGGGCGGGGCCAGGGGCCACTTGAGGCGGAGCCCGGGCGTTCTGCCGGCGCCCGAGTCAGGCGACAGAGCCCGGCAGGGTTGGCACTTACCCACGACCCCCCTTCCCTGCTATGATGACCCGTCCGTAGCAACTTCCAGACCCCCTGGGGGTATGTAGGCAGAGCTAGCGGCAGCCAGGTGCGCAGAGCCACAGGAGCTCTAGGGCACTCTGGGGACAGCTCTGCCTGCTGCGCTCTCTGGTCTGGGGAAATGCCCAACTGACGGGAGAGCTGGTGAGGACAAGAACGTTCCCTTTTGGCGAGTCCGCTGCATCCATGGCGCTGCTGGCCAGCCTGGTGCCCCTGTGCTGCTTGGCACTCCTGGCACTGCCGGCCCAGAGCTGCGGGCCGGGCCGGGGACCGGTTGGCCGGCGCCGCTACGTGCGCAAGCAGCTCGTGCCGCTGCTCTACAAGCAATTTGTGCCCAGCGTGCCGGAGCGGACCCTGGGCGCCAGTGGGCCGGCGGAAGGGGGGTGACAAGGGGCTCCGAGCGCTTCCGGGACCTGGTGCCTAACTACAACCCCGACATCATCTTCAAGGATGAAGAGAACAG